AATCTGATTAGGGGCCAGGGGATCGCTCAGTAGAATAAATGCTTGCCTGGCAATCCACAGTTCTGCCAAAGAGAGAGAGAGAGAGAGAGAGAGAGAGAGAGAGAGAGAGAGAGAGAGAGAATTCTATTAAATTCTCTATGAAGGCCAGTATGACTTCTATTAAGAAGTAGCTAATATTTTTTGTATCTCAGTTTTCTCACATAAAGATGATAATATGTGCTTTTATTGGAGAACTAAAGAAACTAAGACATGAAAAATTCTTCATCTGGTTCTGGCATATGTCAATCATTCAATAACTTTGAACTAGTAATTACAGTTGTAGCAATGAATAATGTATACGAAGTGCATAATGCACATAGTTATCAACTTGCATTTGCTATTATTAATCAGTGTGGATTAAAAATGTGATTAAAAGTATGTCCATGTTGATTCACTCTGTCCTGAAAGTTTTCTGCTTCGTTGGTGCACAGATCTTGTGCTACCCTCCGAGACCAGGGATCATCCACAAGTCGCTCCTGGAGCCAGAAGAGCAAGACAGCCATGCTGCAGCCTCAGAGCAATTTGGTAGCACTTGTGTTACCACCGTGCTTAACATATAATTACGTGTGTGCTTAGTAGGGGTCTCTAATTTGATTTTGAGCTCCTAAAGTGTAAAGGTCTCTCTTTATTCATATTTGATTCCTTAATAATACCAAAAACAGTGTTCAGTAAATGCTAAATTGCATAGGTTGAATTCCTCCAACATAAACAGCTGCTGTAAACTTGATTTTACCAAGAAAACAGCTCACAACACATTAAAAAAAACAACAGGAATATTGCAGAAGCTTGATTTAGATCATTATAACAGATGTACAAGCCAATCTCACGATCTGCTAGCAATGTGCATGCAAGGGCTGTTTTATTTTTCTTAATGCATTCATTTGCACAGACAAAAATTAAGAGTTCCTTTGTTTATATCCATCTGAGGGAAACAAATGCCTTTTGTTTTGTTCAACTGGCAATATGTTGATGTTTTTCAAGTAGGCATTCATCACTAAACCAGCAAAAGGAAATAAAAGGTCAGTACTAGCACTCAGACATAAACAATTTTAAAATCTAGAATACTAATTAGCCACTGTCTTGACAATTCCTGTCATAAACCTAAGAGAAAGAAAATTCCATCATGGGCTGTACTTTGAACTCTTATTCACAGTTTGAAACTATGTAAGAGGATGAATTGTGCTAACTACTTAGGAGATAAAAGGAATGCATTAATGTGTTTTATTAGTCATGTAGTATTTTAGATTTATAATATTTCCCTTTATCCTTTCTTTAGTCATCTAATCCCAGTTCTAATTATAGTTCCTCACCAATATGTATCCATTAACTTTTTGAGTTTCGCTAATGTGTTTCTGCACATGTGCACAAAAATACACACACACACACACACACACACACACACACACACATTTGTGAGTAATTTGAGTTGTTTGAGAATTATTATTTTTTACATAATTTTATTGAGAAATAAATAGCAATGGGACATTTTCAAATCAAA